CTTGCTCCTCATCGACTCGCTCCCCCTTGCGTCCGCATCGACCACCACCTCTTCGTCGCCGTCTCGTCACTTGACTGACCGTAGTGACGCTGCTGAGCCCCGGTCCTGCCAGCCTCATTCTTCCCCTCCTTCAGTCCTCCCACCCCCCCAATCATCCACCCGCCCCTCCCCTGAATTCCGCCGTCAGCAGCTCGTTGTCCGCCTGATTCCGACTTCCTTACTTCCGGTCGCCATTTCTCCTTCCTCCCTTCCCTCCCTCCTCGTGCATGGATTGGGTCGTGTGTCATGTCCGTCAACCCTCTCCCCTCACAACCCCCCTCGCCGCTCGGTCGGAATCGCAGCTCCCTCCTCTCCAAATTTCGCTCCCAACTCGGTCAACGAAATCGCAGCATCACCGACTTCTACATCGAACCGGACGATCCTTGGCGCTCATACTTTCCCGGGGATGTGATCAGTGGGACCGTGGTCCTTACAGTGGTACGGCCCGTTCGCATTACACATCTGGTGGTCTGTCTCCATGGCTTTGTCAAGGTCTTCAAGAACACCGTGCCCCCGGGTGAACAGGCCCCGGATTTGGGCTTTCTGGGACCGGGGCGCGGGCGTCGCGGTGCCGAATATCTGGGAAATGGCTTGTCTACATTATTCGAAGACGAGGTCGTACTTTGCGGGGAAGGTCGGCTTAAAGAAGGAATCTACAAGTTTCGCTTTGAGATGTGCTTTCCCCCGTATGCGCTACCCAGTAGCATCAATGTGCGTGGATCCCCTTCCGTATGGATTTTATTGGGCCATACTGATCGCAGTCGCATTTAGTTCGAACGAGGCACGATATCATATATGCTTACATCCACCCTGACCAAACCGACGACGATCAACCCGACCTCGACGTGCCGGAGACGCGTCAACGTCCTAGAAAACATTGACATCGCGCCCTTTCCCCCACCTAAGCCGCGCGTCGTCACCCTCGAGCCGATTACCCGACGGTCCAAGTCGAAGGCAAAGGCCAAGTCAGCCGGATCTGACGCGCCTGATACACTCTCCATCGATCCGTCAGCCCACGGCGGCAACAGTATTGACAACCGCCCCCCTCTGAGCCCGGCGCCCAGCAATGTCAGTTCATCGAGTCGGCGAAGCAATAGCAGTTTGAGCTTCCAGGTTCCCAGCGACCCGAGCTCATCGACGAGCACTGGGATGCGGAACAGCGAAGCCCGGAGCATCACCCCCTCCACGACGGATCGGACCATTATGGCCAAGGCAGAAGTGCTGCGCGCAGGCGTGTTGCCGGGGGATACTTTGCCGATCAATGTCACCATCAACCACTGCAAGCAGGTGCGCAGCGCGCATGGGATCATCGTGACATTGTATCGCCAGGGGCGGATTGACCTCCAACCCGCGATCCCGATGGGGAAACCCGCGGATGGCAAGAAGCCCATTTACGAAGACTACTATCCGCGCTCGCGGACCGGCTTGGGCGGCCTGACACTTGGCAGCAGCCGCACCACTGGGGTGTTCCGCAAGGATCTAGCGCAGACATTTGCACCGCTGGTGGTGGACCCTACAAACCTCACCGCGCTGGTGAAGACCTCGATCCGGGTGCCCGAAGATACATTTCCGACCATCACGCGCACGCCAGGCAGCATGATCAACTTCCGGTACTATGTGGAAGTGGTGGTCGACTTGCGGGGCAAGCTCACCTCGCCGGACCGGTTTCTGCCCCGGTTCAACATGGTCTCCTCGGGCGGCAACTTCTCCTCCAGCGGGCAGGTGTTGAACCCGGCCGATGTCAACAACAGCGTGATCACGGCGAATTGGGCGGGTAACATTCTGGACACCGATCAGATTCGACGTGAAAAGGGCGTGGTGGCGGTGATGTTCGAAGTGGTCATTGGGACGCGTGACTCGCAGCGCGGCGTGAAGGCAGCAGAGCGCACGCCTTCCACGTCCGCTCCAGTGGATCCTAATCAGCAGCCCGCTGGCCCGGACGGCGAGACATGGAATACCGACCAGTCCCCGACCCCCAACGCCGAAGGTGAATATGTGGCGCAAGAAGACTACGGCTTCCCGCGGGAACCATCCCACTGGCCTGAATACGCAGGTCAGGAGTACCCGGGCGAGCCACAGGCATATCACCTTGGGGAGATGGTGTCGACACCGCCAGCTGACGAGCCGAGCGATGAAAAGAGCCGGCTCTGGCGGGCTGAGCAGATGCTCCTGCCGAGTCGCCCGCCTGACGATGCCGGGGTTGGGCCATCTGAGATGGCGATTCCGACGGCGCCAGTGCTGCCGGAGGACGACCATCTTAACGACTACCACCACCTGCCGTCACCGACGGAGAATGGGACCCCGCGGGCGGTGATCTCTGCGGAGTCGGTGCAGACCGTCGTGCCTGGAAGCAGCGCGGCGGGTGCGAGTGGATCCGAACCGCCTGGAGAGGATAAGCAGGAGCTTGAGCGACAGCGGTTGATGACAGAAGTCAGTGCGCCCGACGATGTGGAAGTTATGGAGGCGCCTGGCAGGTCGACGGATGCGCCGACGGCGCCGGTGTTCCACGACGACGAAGGCGACCATCAGCTGGTGGGCAGCGCGGCGCGCGGCGACGAGGCATTACCGCGATATCAGCGGTGAGAATAAAAAGGCGTTTGTCAGGATGAGTTCTATTGCTTGCATTGCGGGATACCGGGAGATACCATCTACGTTGCAATGTTTGGATTTTTTTGGGATTAATTATGAGCATCCTGCGGCATTGAGGGCGTATATAATAGAGTTTCATGCATTGTGCAGTACTAGTATAGTACTAACGAACTGAATTGCTGCGGAAATCGAGCGACTTTCCCTTTCTGCTTTAGGTCGAACTTGGCGCCGCTTTTTGCTCTCAGAGCGGCCGGAGCGTGGGAGGAGCATAAAAGTGCGTGTCCTGAGCAATCCCTGAGCGATCCCGGATTGCTCCGGGAGTTGACACTAAAGAAGTGACCGTCACCCTGACCGCATACCTGAGTTTACAACAATCCAGTCATGTGACCCAAATATAATGTGCACCACTAATATCATCTATTTCACTTTCTTCTCGCCGGCGTGCCCGTCATTTTCCTGGTCTTCAAAAAACATTAAGCCCCGTTTTAATGATTATTTCATGTTTTACCCAAACTTCCTAACGGTGACATATTCTCGAGCGCCTATAGTGTCAATCCAAGTTCTTACCACAGTTACCAAAGAGGCTCTGTTTAGAGGTCAACGATGCTCTACAACCACTCTAGACCCTATACTTCTCCTACCTACTATCCTTTTAGACCTCACAATGTTTAACTGCACCAGAGGCCTTGAAACTTGTCTATTCGTAGTATACATGTGATAAGCTATTCAAGAAACACCTGAAAGCTGAATGAGGCTTAGTAGTACAGATAGTACAAGGCCTTTTCCACAGGCACATGTCGAATCACTCAACTTGCGAATGAAGACCTTCAGTATGGTTTCCATTTCTTCCAGACATGCTGATTCAGAGAGAAGGGTCATGTCCTTGATTTGTTGCAGTGACTAGAAGCTAAGGGATGTTTCAGTCTTCTTCACGCAGGGACTTGGTAAGGTAAGATGAAGCACTGGCAGGTGTTATTATTTGTCAAGCCCTGATGTCGCTGACTTCGTATCACTTTTCAGTCTGCTTTGATTGGAGCGCAAATGACTTGGCATAGTGCGGGGAAACTTGGTGAAACTCTGCCGCCATTATGCTTCCTATATAACTTAAATGATCCCTATGGGCTCTGTTCTTGTTCGATTCCCGGTTGTCTCCGTTGAAAGAATATCTCACTCCTGGCAATGAGTCCGACGATGGGAAATAACACCACCGAAGTACATGCGGTAACCGATGCAGACAATAAGATACACAGGGTAGCCCTCTGTCTCTACCCTGGTGGTTACAACGGATGTCTATACTTATATCGGCACTGTTACCGAGGTACTTAACAAAGGCCTTCCCTGTGCTGTCTGGGTGACTATCGCTGATCAAGTTACGCTTCATACGAGTCTCGTCTAGAACTCGCACATACTCTGGTCGCGTTCCAAACAGTCCTCGGTCTGATCATGAGCATAATTTTCACCAGCGCTGCCATAGTCTTCACGGCCACCTTTGTCCCGCGCGAGGCTCGGAAAGCAAGTATTATCTATGTTCAGATTACTGCATTCGTAGTTGTAATAAAATTCCTCGGGCTTTCAGCTCTCTGGCTAAGTTGTGGATAGCCTGAATAATATACTGGCCTGATTTATTCTATGAGTTTCGGATAATCTGTAGGCAGACATGCTATCACTGAGGATTATTACTGGTTCTTAATTAGTCCCTGTATTCTCTTAGTTTCTCTGGGCTGGCTAATATATTAAATAAATGGTATAGTAGATCAACATGAGTTCGGCTGCATAGACTGACCGGTGCTTGACCGAGAATGCTGACCTGTCGAGATTTGAAGACCTGCTGGTTGCGGTCGAGAGCTACTGCTGCTGCACCCGGCTGGCTCTTCTTTCCTGATGAAAGCGATACGTACCTTAAAGCTGTGACAGCACTAACAAGCCCTAAGCTGAGCCATTTTCTGCCGGCTGAAAGGTTTCCGTCTGGCATTAGAAGACAAGATCCGATCAGAGGGAGGCTTTCTACCTTGGGTTGGAGGAGTCTTTGGCACCATCCCAACCAACAATCCCTCTTGCGTCGTTGGGAAAAAAAGTCCTGGCGTTCGGAGACTTATCATATTGGACAGACACTCAATGCCACTGCAAGGGGACTGGAGAAAATACCCCTGACATAAGGCCAAGTTAAAATTTTTAATCAAGCCTGAACAATGAGCACGGCGTTGATTATAGCTGACTCTTCGACCCGAGACCACTACAGCGCTGTGGATTTAGCGGTCATAATTATAAAGCAAGAGCGAACCCAATTCTAGAAAGCGACAAAATTTCAAGCGCGACTAACAACCATACGCCGACCTACTCAGCATAGTTATTATATCAATAACAGTAGCTCTAGTAAACTCAAATAGTACACCGATTAGTAGACATGCGCTTTGCCGTAGCAGCGTCACCCGGAGCTGCACAGTTCCTCCATAAGGCCCCAGAAAGACGACAAACGGTGCAATTTCAGTAGTCGCAAATCCTGCGTTATGACAACGAATCGTAAACAGTATCTTATCTCTTTCTCATTCAAAACAGCCCTCAGCTATCAGAATGGCCATGCTGCCTCGAGTTTCTTCCCCCCAACAACCGCCGGCTTCGCTTGAATCATCACCGAAGTCAATCTCGCCCACTCACTTGAGGGATTTCCCCACTTATGCATAGTGCCCCTCTGCACAACCGTGTCGCCAGCATTGAGTGTGACCATCGTCCCGTCATCCATGCTTAGTGTCACAATCCCCATGGCGACTGTGACATAGTCAAGGGTGATAGACCGATGCATTGGGCCCTCATACTTTGGCGGTAGATCGTATATTGTGAAGATGGAGTCTTTGTTAGTCGCAGCTGTTGTGGCCAGTCGGACCTCGTTCGGATCTTGATCGATAATTGCGGGGATCTCATCGGAAGTCCATAGGGGGTTTAAATATGTCCCATCCTCGTATGCAACGGGCTCTTTTTGCTCATCGATGGCGATGGTGGCAGAGCGGGACTCAAGATGGGAGGTAACGATGCAGCGTGTGTTGGGGAGTCGGCGCGCGTGGTTAGAAGTCATTTGGAAGGCTGCTTATTTGACGTTTACTCAAAGGCCAACGGTGAGTGCTATTCAACTCGACACTGTAATTGTGGTAGAAAAAAAAGAAGGAAGTGGTATTTTTACTATAAGTATCTGGTCTGATATATATAATATCCTGTGTTTCGTGCCCTCCCCACCGCTTTTGAGAGGGAGTGAGCTGAGGACGTCTGAGGGATGATGCTGACGACTAGTAGCTCCGTGAGCTTGAGTGTCGCTGTTACATCCATGCTTATCTCCGGCAGAGGGACGTCATAGGGTTTGGTTTGGCTGATCCGACCTTCGACATGGTGGAGCCGTTGCATGCCCGACCCGGAGTTATCGGAGAGGTACAGGGTTTGAGATAACGTTTTTTTTTACCTCAATGTTTCAAGTGCTACTTTCGCATCTGCTTCTTCTGGTCTTCGCTGGCAAAGCTGTTGACCCCTGCCCAGCTTGTTAGGGGGTAAAGCTGTGGTTTTAAAACATAATTACCTCGACAAGATTTTTGAGCAGTGCTAAAGACCGAGGTTATCTCCGATCTGGGTAGTGGTCTGGTTCGTCCACTCAAAATTAAGCAAAGCAGCTGTATTTACCCATATTAAGTATATTTTATTACTACTAAGTCTGTAAAGAATTAGGGTTTAATTTGTTTTTGCTTTCAATGCAACAGAAAATATCTTGAGTTTTAGTTTTGGATGGCAAAGTGGCTACTTTTCAGCTGCTACTTCAAATCTTACCAGGGTTCTCACTCGGGCGTCAATCATGTTAAGTAGACCGGCGCCTTTATTACTTCGCTAGGCATCATCGATGATTATAGATAGGGGAATAGGGAGTAGGACTTATCATAAATTAGTACAATGCATCTTCATTAGCTTTTTTCCTCAGTACATGAATTCTTTTCTGATAATAACAGAAAAAACCATTGTCTAATGTACTAAGGTAGAAAGATGAATCTCCCGGCTTCAACGGAGATAAAATTAGCTAAACACCGCGGGTGTCATCAGGGTTACCCGGAGTAGACCGGCGGAGTGAACTAATAGGTTATATGTAATACCAAAAGAAGGTTTCATTCCCGTTTATTTCCTGTTCTTTATATACACATTGAACAGATTCAAATGTCAAAGATGTCATCAAGCGGCCGACCCTCAAGTAATCTGTTATAATGGTGTATATAAAATGCCTGCTACTTAGCTATCCGTACCCTTCTAAGTAACTTTCCTACTCATATGTTTTCTACTTATACTGTGTTCTATACAAAAATGTCGACAAGATACGCCGCAGTCCATCAGAATACCAAAGGTCCTGGTGATGCTCGTCCAACCGCATTGCAAATTATTCAAGACCAAAAACTCGAGAATCAGCTGTCTGACAAGGTCATTCTAATAACTGGTTGCTCCTCTGGTATTGGTGTCGAGACAGCACGCGCCCTTTTCACCACTGGCGCTACGCTCTTTTTAACTGTCCGCGATGTTGAAAAAGCGAGATCTACATTAGGTGATATTGTTGACAGTCCTCGAGTCTATTTGTTACACCTCGACCTCAACTCCCTTGATTCTGTACGCGCCTGTGTACAGGTTTTTAAGTCCCAAAGCAAGACTTTGAATATCTTGATTGAGAATGCCGGAGTTATGGCGTGTCCTGAGGGCCGGACTGTGGATGGCTTTGAAACACAGTTCGGTTGTAACCACTTGGCACATTTTCTTCTATTCTACCTTCTTAAGCCTATTCTACTGGCTTCCTCAACCCCTGGTTTTAACTCTCGGGTTGTCATTGTTTCTTCAGCTGCTCACCGCTATGCGAGCGTCAATTTCAACAATATCAGTCGAAAGGGTGAATATGAGCCTTGGAAGGCGTATGGCCAGAGCAAGACTGCCTCAATTTGGACAGCTAATGAAATTGAGAGGCAATATGGCTCTCAAGGTCTCCACACTTTCAGTCTACACCCAGGCGGTATACGGACTGATCTCCAACGTCACGTTTCGCATGAGCAGAGGGCTGCTTGGGACAGCGATAAAGAATTAGCCAACTACTGGAAGAGCCCTGAACAAGGAGCCGCTACAACTGTGTGGGGTGCAGTTGCAAGGGAACTTGAGAATCAAGGCGGCAAATACTTGGATAACTGCCAAATCGCTGGTCTGTATGATCCGAGCACGGGTCCTCGGGGTCCTGGTTATGCCTCATGGGCATTCGATGTGGAGGGGCAGTCAAGACTTTGGGCAGAAACTCTGAAAATTCTAGAGCTGAAAGATGATTAAGATAGGCAATTATTGTGATTCAGCTACTGTCAGGGGTCGGTATGGCTCTAAGATATTGAATTAACAGATTAAATAGTTAGCCAATTTAGGTTTATTAATAAGAGCCATATTATTTTATTACATATTATTACAAACTGGATTCGCTGTGCAGCATATAAATAAAATCTTTGATTTATATTCCTATTCCAGGTGTGTTCTATAGACCTATAACGTTGCAAGTCGTATAGCATTGCACGGCTCAAGATAAGAAGGAGTATTGCAAAAAAATGCGCATTTAAGAAGGGCCCTAAATAGTAAAGTCGGAGAAGCGGAGATTCCACTCCTTGTTAGTCAAGCTGTGGAGAAGACACGAGTTTCAATATCTTTGAGGCAGTGTATTAACAACTTAGTAAAAGTAGATTTTAATAAATCATATACTGTACGAGATTTAGTACAAGAACTAAGTATAAAACGCGAACCGATTATCCTCAGATGTCCAGTCCTCTCTATTGTATCAGTGGGATTTCCTATTCTGCTGGTTGGAGGTAATCTCATTGTTAGCGATAGATAGTCGTACTACTTGATGAGCCGAGCGTCGTTATTTATATTATTGATAAAAGTTGGCTGTGTAATAGCACATGTCTAAGATGAAAGTATATATTGCGAAATTATGGTCTATATACATGACTCAATCTTAATATCTTGATGACCAGGATGCGGATGTGCCGCAGGCCACAATAAACTACCCTGAAAATTGTATAGTATTTGAAGCAAAGTGTTACATAAAGATATATCCCAAACCCGGATTCAAGTAGTAAATATAAATAACGTCCCTGCAAGCGAAGTGGGCCAAAGCTAAGCAAGCACCCTAACTAAGATACCATCCAACTCGGGGAAGTCCAACGCATATCTTTTGGATCACGTATGCATCTCGTTGTTATCTTTAGTTAAAGATATAGCCTCTGCAGATCTGGCTTGCGCCAGCCTCAAGTACAGCAACTCACTTGCCCACATTCCGAGAATAGCCTCTCGGCCCAGAATTCTGGCTATTCTTCAGAGTATCATTCTGAGAACATCCACTCTGGCAACAATGCCACCGGTGGTGTTGCTATTCTTCCCCACCGTAGGATCCTCAACCCCAGCTGACGAGATGTACAGACTGTTTTGATCTAACAGAGTTCGACCAATTGTCACAGCAGACGCAGAAGCCAGGTAGGATGATTCGACAACGACCTGGGCAGATCTCGCAGCGATGTCAACTTCGATTAGCGTGCGGTGTCCATTAATGGCGACCCAGGCCCTCTGGCCGTTCGGGGACAAGACAAAGTCATCCCCAGGGGCACCACGGACAATGACATCAACCGGACCTGTAGGTCGACCAGTTTGGGTGATGGGGATGCGGCCGAAGATACCCTGGTTCAGATTGGTAAAGTACACATAAGAGTCGTATGTATGAATACCATTAACAGCAACCTGAAGACCCGTCTGTGTGTCCTTCAGGGCCGTCTCGTTCATCATAGTCTGAATAGAACCATTGTGCACGTCCAGCTTGTAGATTTGGCCCGCCTCGGAGTCAGCAATCAAAAGAGAAGACGTGTCATTCTCCGACAAGCGACACATTCCATTGAGTACTCCTGCAGATGGAAATCTTGCTACCAAGGAAACTGGCGCATGAACAGTTCCGGAATCCGACAGCTGGTCAAGGTTGCGAAGGTCGACTTTCCAGACCGCATTCGAGCCCGGAGTGCCTAAAACCCCGCTAATGTTGGCGCTGATCACGTAAAAAATATCCTGTTCGAGTTCCGTGATACCGAGTAATCCTGCCGTTTCTGGAACCCGGACAACGCGAGATACGTGGTTTTCCTGCAGGGGAGAAACCTGGTGGAGGTAGGGCGACACGGTCGAAGTTACCAGTAACTGGCCATTGTATCGGGTGGCTATGTTCTCGAACGTATGGGGCAAACCGGACTCGTCACTAATGACAGTCAACGGGTAGGTCGTAGTCCGTTGTAGCGAAAGCCCGCCAGAAACTAGGGAGGAAACAAGTAGCCAGAAAACACCACCTGAGAACATCTTGATAATAGTTGGCAAATTGTAAAGAGTTAAACCTCTAATAAAAGTCATGAGCCGGCCTTTACACAGTGTAAGGGCCCACTAAGGGCCCAATCCAAAATTTGGATTTGCTTTAACTCCGTTGTCATCATAGACGGTCTTATCTCCGGGCTTTTCTGGGCGCTTTAAGGAAGATTCGCGAGTTTGGAAGGTTCCGTATAGATGCGCGTCTGTGTTTCCCACTTAACTAGTTAAAAAAAAATAGGACTTTTAACTACTAATCTCCTGTTGGGGCACACCTGCCCGGGCCAAGAAAAAGAGCGGGCCAAGAGTACGCTTGTCCGCTAGTCTAAATCCGTTGCTACCGTCAAGGCTCGGCGCGGGTGGATTCGGCTGACACATAACAGTGTAGGTCCCGGACTTATAGGCGGCCAACCTCTTAACCCCGGACCTAGCAATTGGTATCGACCTTTGGTGCCTATTTATATAAACCTTATGAAGGCGAAATTCATGGTATTACATAAGCTAGACTAAGATATAGTTAATTGGCAAAGACATCTGGGGTATGGTTTCGTTTCTGCAGCCCAAACGTCCGGATATCCCGGAGACTATGATTTGTGGTACTTCCGTCGAAGGAGGCCGGCATAATTGATTTCTGTTTAAACCTCAAATATAATATATAAGGAAACGCTCCTCATAGCCTTGGTTTTCTATAATTTCTGCTGAGTGAACATTGTACCTTCGGTCACGGTTCTTACTGGATAGCAAGATGCGCTCCTACATGGTCTCTGGATGTTCTCGAGGGATCGGATTCGAGTTAGTCCGTCAACTGGCTGATTCGAAGGATGATATTGTTATCTTTGCATCTGCTCGGTCCTGCAATAACCCGAAGTTCCAGGAACTCCTAGACCAACACCCTGAGCGCATTGTATATGTGCCCCTTGATGTTACAGACCAAGTCAGCATCAAAAATGCTGCAAAGATTATTACATCAAAGCTGGATGGCAGAGGGTTGGACGTACTCATCAACAACGCCGGTGTGCTGACTTATGGACTGGTGGAAGAGATGTACGGCTTTTATGTTTTCCCTTATGCCTCTTGCCTTTTGAGATCGCCTCGAAGTCGTTCACTTCGTGAACTTGCCTGCTGATCTGATCGTTAGGGATGATTTAGAAGATACGTTCCGCACTAATGTCCAAGGTGTGCACAATCTTACACGGGCTATGTTGCCCCTAATGAGGAAAGGAACGGAGAAAAAGATTCTGAACATGTGAGTTAACCTCTTCTATTTCTCTGGGTTATAAGGAGCAACAGACTAAGGGAATCCCAAGCTCTACAACGTTGGGTTCCATCTCACAACAATCTATCAATCGCCATGTGACAGCCCCTTCTTACAAGGTCACGAAAGCTGCTTTAAATATGCTTACAGTTCTTTATGCGAATGAATTGGAGAAGGAAGGATTCACAATTTTCTGTGTCAGCCCTGGTGTACGTTTGCCATTAGAAGCTACATTCATGTCAAATGGCTGACATTTCAACAAATCTAGTGGTTGAAAACAGATTTGGGAAGCGACAATGCTGATCTTCCGGTCGAAGTCGGTGTCAAGTCTATATTGGAAATTCTTCATGAAATTGGCCGAGATCGTAATGGTCAGTTTCTTAATATTCACGTCCCTGGGTGGGAGAATGCGCCAGGCATGAACCAATACGATGGAAAGGAGGTGCCGTGGTAGATTCCTTTGTCGAATAGGAAAAGCGCTCTCCTATCATTAAGTCTCACGTCGGGAATGGTCTTATTATTCAATGCTGGTTCATTCACTGGTTGTCTTACGAGCCTATAAACCATTAAAGTCCATGACAGCAATGTTAGGAGCTGCGTGTCTATTAGCAGTCCACTAGAAGGAGCTGCGTCTGCCCTTGGTGCTCAGCACCCCCTGGCTAGGCCTTGATTTGCTCGCAGGTCGAGACTGGGCAGACGTTTCCAACCATCGCTTTAAATCGAGTCCCGTTTTATCCGCAGACATCTCAGCCCCTGCTGCCTGATCCTCAATCCTATGCATATACTGTTGCGCTTGCTCTTCTAATTCATCCATGTGCTTTTGGGCGTGTTCTTCCATCTCCTTCATACAATCGTCGGCTGTGGTGCGTAAGTCGGTCTTACTATCGTCAACGTGCTCGCTAAATTCAATTTTATGCATTGCACATTCATCCAAGACCTTGTCACAACACTCGCTTAAAGCACTGTCGACGGTCTCCTGGACAATTTCCTTCAGGATATGTGTTTCAAGGATCTATTTGATCTTCGCATCGATTAGGCGTTCGAGGTGACGTTCGATCAATTTTATCTTGGTCAAAATGGCTTTCTCCGAATAAGAGAGTACATTACCTTCAAAATCATCAGATATGGCCGGTAGACATCGACATACTAAGCGAATCAATAATTTGCGGATCAAATCATCGGAAGCACCATAGAGCATATGCTCAAAACCCGCAAGTGTGTCACGCTCCGTGCGTCTTGGAAGGGAATGACGCGTAAAGTCGCTTGCTCAGATTGAGGCCGGTGAAGGGGAAGGACTCGGTGTATTGACTTCAGTAGGACAACATGGCGATTCTGGAAAAATTAAGAGCGATCGTTTTCGTCCGTCATCCTCGGGTGGTAATGAAGAGTGATCTATAAACAATTAATTAACTATTGTAGAATATAAAGTGTAGAAGAATATTGGAATTGAAGGTACCTCGGCGCCGTTTCTCACCCGCACGGGGCTAGCTTAGATTTATCATGGTTATCACAAAAGTACAGCCTTCTCGCATGATCCGCAAACACCAAAGGCAATTTTTGTGTCCGCACTGGCGACGAAAGTGTCCAGAGGGACCGTCTCCTCTTACTTCCTTCTCACAAAAACAGCAAAAGATCAGGCTTCTAGCACGCATTCGAGGATGTCGATGAACGATTTTGCTTCCTGAATCTGTTGTTTCGCGGTACAGTCCCCGAGAAAGAGAATAATTGTACCTTCTAATCAGATTGTTTCGCCTTGCCTGTTCGTTTATATATAATGCACATTGTGTGAACGTTGAGGGGTAACATAAAATAGAAACAAAAACCTTCAGTTCTTAGTCGCAAGGATTATCCTATCTAGTAGGAAGTCCTGAAAATGGGAAATGTGGACACTGGGTGGAGGTTTTCAGCTTGGACATCACAAATAATAAGGTACTCTAATTCGTCCAGCAGAAGTAACTACTTAATGCCCCTGTGGCTCGTCCGCCTACTGTTCAGCCAATCCATGTACCACGCCCCATCTACGACTCTTTTATTCTATAACTACATAACACACTATATAGGCTCAAACAAGAAAATAGGTGGTCAAAGACGGACACGGATACTGCGTTTTATGTGCTTTATTCCAGAATACTAAATGGAGCCCTGGCTCCGGCCTGGAAATTGGTCTAAAAAAATCCTTATCACATCCGACCAAGGTTGTTTCTCGTCCCTTCTTAACCTTAATAGAAGGTTTGCCTTTTTAAATGACTACAGCTTGCTTTTCTAGGAGGTTTCGAAGCCCTCCCCAAAATATTAGTTGGCTGACCCAAGCGATGTGCCAGCTGTACTATACGTTTAGATATTTCTAGATCGGATTTGAATATATAGTATAGTAGTGCACCTTCAAATAGCTACAAAAAAATTGCAAGTGTTCGTCAGCCGATACAGATATAAAATAAAAAACCTATTCTCTAAGGCGGTTATAGGAGTACCTCTGGCCTATTTGCACAGCTGTAGTTGTCTATACAACTGTTGCAACTTTTGCTTGTGATAATTTAACTGTTTGCTGCTGAGTGATAATAGAAGGGCTGGAAGTACGCCGGCGAGAAGCCTGTATTTATATTACTGAATGAGGTGGAAAAATTGCGAATTAGGTCATCGCTGATTAGTCTTCTCCATTTTTGCAGGGCATCAACTAAGAGAGTATGGTGGACCATCTTGAGTTGTGGTCAAAGAAAAATATCAGGCCCTGGTCTTTGTGGTGCCTTCACAAAAGTGATGGGTTAGTTGTCTCATACTATTGCGTTTTAGTTAGCACGCAGTTTAGAGGCCTGGTGCTAGTCACGTGGAAGCCGATCATGGTCGGAGCAGGAGCCGCTCCATAAACTCTGGGATTACTCAGTGAGCTATCGCGGTTCGGGAGCGGTCGGAGCACTTGGTGCATGTTCAGTGAGCAATCAGTGAGTGCGCAGGAGCACAGAAGGAGCAGTCACGTGCTGCCCTCACAAAAGCGGCGGCACCCGCATAAGGCAAGCGGACGGGACTCCGACTTTAGCAAAACATTCCAGTAATGGGGCTATTGTAATGGCGGATTGGTAATGGGTAGATAACAAATAAGCAGTCAACTAAATAGATAAGTAGATTAGAAGGCGATTAGGCTGTACTGGAACTGGAACCAACCCGGTCGCGCCAAGCCCGCTCTAACCTCCGATATCTCCTCCATCTTCTCTTCCTCTTCTTCCTCTTCCTCCCCTCAACAATCCAACCTCATCCACATCCACCCATCCAAAAACCCACGGGAATACTACCCCGTCGGCCTTCACCATGGCCTTCCGCAACGGGTCCTTCGCGACCTTCCTAATCGTCTGCCGTACGCCACCACCTCCCCCATACCCTCTCCCCCAAACACTCACACTCCCCCCCATCTCACCCCCAACCATCCCAATCAATTACTAACCATGAAATAAAAACAAAACAGCAACATCCTTCTTCCTCGGCCTCATCTTCTCCCTCTTCCCCTACGACTACCCCATCCTGTGGTCCACAACCCCCACCCCAGCAACCCACTTCGACTACTTCGAATCGCACCTCCGATTCCTACACGCCTCGCCGCCCCTAATCCCGCGAATCCTGCACATCGTGATCTTCCTCGGCTTGCTCGGTCTGATCATGAAGCTCTACAAACCCTCCGAAAGTAATATGTTGTTCGATGGCGCCAGTCTCGTGCTGTATATGTGTGGGATTACGGTCTACATTGCGAATATTGTTAAGGGGTTGAGGTTGGTTAGTGGTGGGGTTTATGGGGATGAGTTGGTTAAGAATGGTGGAGGTGGGAGTGGGGATGAGGGGGTGGATGTGGAACAAGGGCAGATTCTCGGCAGGGAGGATAGTTTGAAGGTGTTGGCGGCGAGTAATACTATCCTCGCGCTGGTGTTGGTTGGTGTGCTTGTGTTGCAGGCGGGGCAGTGGTATGCGGAGAGGAAGGAGGCGCAGGAGGTGGAGAGTTTTGCTACTTCTTCGAAGAAGAGTGCTAAGGAGGGGGAGAAGGAGGGGGGAAGTGAAGGAGGGAGTAAGAAGAAGAGGAATTAATCAAATTGGGTGAGTGTGTGGGTTTGGAGGTGTGTGAGAGGTGAGATGGTGTGGTGTTGGGGTAGGTAAGGAGGTAGTGGATGTGTATGGTATCAGTTACTATGAATTGCAGTTTCAAAGGTATCATCTATGTACAGCATAGGTATCAGTTCAGTAATGCACAGTTCATCATCCAATCCATCATCAATGCAATCAATGCAAGCAAGTTGTTACACCCAAGCATCCGCCTCTCACATCTGCAGTCCCTCCGGTCGGAATGAAAATGGACTCCGCGGCAGGTCTGGCGTCCGCGGGCTCAGTGCTTTTGCGAATAGTTCCTCGCCTGAGTCGGCGCTCGCTGTGCGCGCCATCCCTCCCATCGATGCGAATCCCGTGTGGTGTTCGACATTCTGCTGTGCCTGTACTGACTCCGGTGGGTAGTGCACCACCGTCCGTAGGGCCTCTGGCGCTGCGGGCGCGGGACTGCGCGTCGGTCGATGTATGCTGTGAAAGGAGTTGAAGGAGGAGACGGCCACGTCGGGGGACTGGGGGGATAGTAGATGTCGCGCGGAGGCTGATCATAGCATTGTTAGCATCAGTCTGGCTCTGGTGTATGGTATATACGTACCCTCCTTCGGGGACAGTTCCCGCTCGCTCGTCTGCAGCTTCAGCCCCTTGAGCTTCTCGCCGAGCTTGCCGCCACTGCTGGGCGATACCGGCGTCGCAGGTCCCATAGGATAATGCGGATCCGGATGACTCTGCCCGACCACCTTGGGTCCGTCAGGAGACAGCGACACGCCAAAGTTGGATTCGATCCATTCCTTCTCCTGCAGAGCCATGTGCAGCGCAATCCCCTCGGCGTTGTTCAGACATTCATCCCGGATCTCCTTTTCCAGCACCTGCAGCCGCTTCTTCGCCCATATTGTGTGTAGCACACCCTTCTTGCCCGCTGAGCGACCATCAGCACCGAGCTCTGGAGGAAATATCGCCGGCAGCGGATTCAATTGCATGGGTTTGGGGTTCTTGGCGGACGGGGGTGCGTGAGCCGGGGGCTCGTATGACAGGGTGACGGTGGGAGGGATGGTAACGTGTGGCGGCAGTAGAAAGTACATTCGACGGGTGTTGTCGCTCGTCTTCTCATCGGCAGGGAGAACGGCGGTTTTACCCTCCCAGGCAACGTGCCAGGAACCTCCGGGGAAAGAGGAGGAGCGAGCTATAGCGTCGTCCTCCCATTCAATCATCATGATTTTGGTGCCATCGTTGGCTTTGCCCGCCTCGAACTCGAAGCGGGCCAGGGCGGTGATGGTAATGGGACCCGTGGAGAAGCGGTGGGAGTCGAGGGCAGCAAAGTCACTGTTTGGGGTGAAAGGCGTAGGGAGCGAGTGAGCCATGGCAAGAGGGCGGTCAGACGGGGATAGATAAGGGGGGAGGGAGAGAGAAGGGGGTTTTAGAGGAAGAGGAAGAGAGAGACAGAATGGAAGATCGAAGGGATTCGAATTCGGATATCAGGAAGAGGAGGAGATGGAGCAAGTAGCGCAAGACACTAGCAGATAAGATGGCCGAGGATGCATATGGAGGAAAATAGAATAGAATAATTGGAGAGGCGCTGGAAAGGGTTGTTGGGAAGGAAACGGCGCGGCGCAGATCACGGGATAAGAGGGGATCACCGCATCAGGCAATTCGATGCATAACAACAATATTAATATTAATCAATATGATCAGTTTCAGTGGGGAAGATGTTAGATGAGTATCTTCCTCGAAGGGCAGTTGAAATGGTGTCAAGATGAGAAGGTGGAGAGAGAGGGAGAGAAAAGAAGATAGAAGAAGAAGAAGAGGAGGAGGAGTAAGAAGAATGGAGAAAAAGAGAGTGAGAGGGGCATCCACGAGCACTTCTTCTTCTTCTTCGGCTTCTTCTTCCTCTTCTTCCTCTTCTTTTGCTGCTTCTTCTTTCGCCGCTTCTAAATATAGCCTCTTGGCATCACACCGCATCGGTCAGCATCTTTCACTTAGTACTGTCTCAATCAGCTTCTTTCCAGTCTCTCCCTCACTAGTAGCCTCTCACTCTCACTCTCAGTTCCAGAACCCTAAAGAATCCCCTCCCCCCGCCCTACCATGGTTGGCTCCGTCAGGCGTCCCCTCTTCGGCCGAATTCCATGGTTCAGTTGCCCCGTCAGTCAGCCTGCCAGAACACTAGATCCCATGGTTGATGAGCAAACCACAGATGATGTCAATCTCACCAACTAGTTAGACAAAGGGAAGACAATCACAGGCAGGAAGAGGACCTGTCTAGCACTACCCAACAAAGTGCTAGGAATTCATGTGCGGACACTGGCCTAGATGTAGTCCTTCATTGCCGCCGTGATGGTGGCACAGTGGTTATTAGACGCCTATCACCATCACCCACTGAACCAACAGTGACTTCACCCCCATCCACTTGTCTCTATGTTTTTTCTTTCTTTTTTTCTTTTGCTTTTCTCTGTCTCCCTTCATTTCTTGTAAAACCAGTCGTACCAAACCGTATCATACCCAAGCGCTGGATCACCACATGGGCGACAATACGCGGGGTCGAGTCACCCTTCCTTGGACACCAGCTGTGGTTATTGCCCCATGACCCGCTCACCGAGTGATGAAGAATAGTCGTCATGCAGGGGAATTGCGCTTAAGGTTGTATAAGAACCTGACAGCCACGCAGTGTTGTTGCTATATTCATCACCACTGGAGGCCAGTCCGGGACATTGATTGGCTCACAGTGCAGCATCAAGGAGGGGAGCGTCGTCAATCCACTGCTGCAGCGAGCGGGAAATCATGCATCCTTTGTCACAGGGGCGGCATAACCTTGTTAACCGCTGGAAATCTGGTTTAGTTAGGTAGACGACCAACTAACTGACTAAGTTCTGGTGCCAGATGGGTACCCCTCGTGAGGATGGGACGACTATGCAAGTATCAGTATCTGATTTGACAGGACACTCTGCCTATGTGAACCACGTACTAGTCTGACTAGAGTCTGCAAAAGATGAGCGGACAAGCTACTGGACTGGGCAATACTGGATGGTCTCAGCCAGTCAAATCAAGCCTCTCAGGAACAGCTCCGAGGGGCAATTCGGACGGAGTGTGAGGGGCTTGGCTGTGTCCACACACACTTTGCTCCAGTGAACTCAACTTCTACCAGGTAGGTAGGAGACCGGTATTAGAAGGAAAACATAGCATGCGAGCAACAAGAGAGTCCATCTCCATCATCAACTTCATCTTGGATGCTCAACAATACATATATCCATCGCATCCGTTGCATCCAACACCGTCGTGCTCGTTACCAAAAATATCCCCATGAGGTCCCAGAAATAGCAATACATAAGCACCGAGCAGGGTACACCTGCACCAGGACCCCAAGGCCAATCAGATCGCGGAGGGCTAGGACTAGTCCAGTAGACCCTGGCGTTACCAGAAATAACTTCCCTGCTGTGATGAAAATAGAAATACCCCTCCAGACACTTGCTCACACGCGAGGATTCGATCCCGTCTCTCCGTCGGCGCTTAACAGACAGCCTGTGATTGAACGAGTCAAAGGAGTATCCACAGCAACTAACCTACCATCTGTCCGGAATCCAGCGCTATCCCTCCTAACAGGGGGCGGACCAACTGATCGACCAGGATGGAAGGGTTCAGAAGCGCCAGGATTGGGTCGAATAGATGGAGGGACGGCATGACCAGGGAGTGTCTACTTTAGCGCCGAGGGTAGTAATAGTGCCGGCCCCTCGTTACCTTTTTGGGAAGCATGCAACGATGGACTAACTGACTAATGACTGACTAGAAGGATTCCAGCGAGAGGATGGGTGATCCTCCGAGCGGCTGAGATCCCGGCGGCAAAATGACTGGGCGTTGAGATGTGATGAGATGGCGTCCAGGTGCATTAGGTTTGGTGATGGGATTGCAGTGTGTGCAAGTAAGCAGATGACATAACCGCTTAGTGACCAGAAGAATCTTGATTTTCCAATCAGACTGGAGGATAGAGTGCGCAATACGCAGTATGCAGCATTGGAGAGGGACTCATCCAAAAATAGGACATTAATCCGTCTAACTACTTTACAGAGTAGTATCTACTACTAACTAGTAAGAGTATTCACTATCCACACGTCATCTCCATCCCCCACACATCCCTCTTGTACCATCTCACCAATCATAACAATGCAAAGAAGAGGGGAAGATCCACTGCGGCCCCATCGGGCTTAGTGCCGGCGCTTAACTGCAGCGGCCACTTTATCTTTGTATCAAATCAACTGAAGGGGAGAAGACAGACAGTCTGCTGGCTGGACGCGGACGCGCCGGATGTGTGTGTCTGTCTATACGGTCTGTGCAATGAAGTCGCAGTCTGCAGTGACTACTACTTACTCCCAAGTAACCACAGAAGAAGAGTCATGAGGCTGAAGTACACCCGACTTACAGTTACAGTGCAACTCCTACTAGGTATTCAGCTACTATCTCTCTCTATTGCCACTGCCAACAATCCCCTACCCTATAATCTTACCACCAACAGGGTACTAGTATAATCCCACTAACCCTCAACCCAATTAATCAATCTAGAAGCCCTTCGAACACCCCCTAGAACCAAAGCAAATAACTACCGACCCTATTACCTAGAAAGTAATCACCTCCGTCCATCACTGCCCCCATCCCATCCTTATTCCCCACTAGCACATCAAAAGCAGGCCAATCACCCCGACCCGCAATTCTTCAGCAACAAGATGAAACAAAGAGCGCGCCTTGTCATCCAATCATGGGTCGAGATGCACCCGTCCTAGATCACAGCAGGCTGTTCACATCGTTGTGATTCGTTGGGGATAAGCGATGGAATGCATACTAGAGTAAGTAACCTAGTAGGCAGGTACTTGAGATTGATTACTGTGTTAGGAGGGAGTGAGGGAGTGAGGGTAAGATGTAGGGTTGTTGTTGCCGCCAGGAAGATAGATGATGGGTTTGGATGGTATGGTATGGTATTGGTATGGTGGGTGGTGGTGCGTTACGTAGGGCTTAATACGGGGGTGATTTACTGTGTATTTTATTTCTATGGCTGTGTCTGTTGTCTGTGTGTTGAATGCACAGATACTTCTACATCCATCCTTACGAAGTATTACTACTGTGATGGTGATATACAAAGACAATCAAACTCTCTATTTACTTGAAGTCACATTACACATCTACATCTACACCCTTCCCAGCTCAATCACCTCCACTACTTACATACCACATAGCATAGTTAGTTACTAGTTACTGTCTTCTATCCAGCAATCCCTCTCTACAACACCACAATCTACAACATACAATCCCAATATCCTCTACACTCTTCACTCTACACTCTTCACTCTACACCTCAATCAACTACTACCACAACTATTACTTACCCCTCCAACCTCCAACTAAATCCACACCGCGCCTGTGCACTCACCAACCACCACTCTCACCGCGCCAAACCCTCCCTGCCCCCTTAGCCCAAAGCCTAACTAACTAACTAACCAACTAACTAGTAACTCTCCGACCACCAAACCCAACCCAACCCACACCAATCATCCCCGTTACCATATCCCCGGGTACAAAGTCAACCCAACCAACCCAATAGCCCAATCCCGATAGACAAAGTAAGATTAGACGGAAGAGAAAATTCAATGCGGCGCAGCACCGCGCATCTCAGCCTTCAGCCTTTCCTATCAGCTCGGACATTGCGTAGATTAAGTGGAGCTATCGCTTAGTATTGTAATTCCTGGATAGGTTTACACGTGGTGGAATTGGAGGGGTTACCCACTCTTCATTAGTTAGTAGTTACAACTTAGTATGATTGAGTGAGAGGAAGAAAAGAGGGGTTCGTTGGGTTACTGTCTTCTCTGTCTGTGCGTACATCATATTATATTCTGGGAGATAGGTTTGGGAAATGGAGGTGCATTGAATGAGGGGTGATGGGGGAAGAGAGGGGTTGGGCTCGATTGATCAATGTGAGGCTCTGGCCAGAAGCGCGAGGGACTGGGTTGGTTTAGAAGTGGAATCGTGGAATTGATTGGAATTGAAATCGATAGATGTCAATGGTGGGGATTATAGTACTCCGTTGGAGTTGTGGTTGTGGTCGTGGTCGAGCCTCTGCTGGGCGTATATACCCTGCTTAGTATATTGCCAACGCATACACATGAATCTACCCTGTAAGTACTAGTTTACCATTCTTTACTTGTCTACTAGCAATGCTACATGGCTTACTGATCGATCACATGAAGTAGATGAAGTGAGGAAGAAAAATGAATTTCAAATCGCACTGCTTGCTCCGAACAGAACTGATAATAATAAATGTCTCGCTTGCTTCTTCCCCCCCGCCTCCTAACTCCTAACGCCGGACCCTGCGCTAGTACCATGACCATAGAGAAAACAACAGTACAAAGGAAATTGTGAATCGAACTAAAATCCTGTTTAGGAATCTTCTTCATCCTCCTCCTCCTGCTTGGTCTCGTTATGCTTTCTCCGCTTCCCCTTAGGCGGATCCTCAAGTTGCGTCCGCTTATACGTCACCGTGTGAGTGACAACATGACGCACGCTGACTCTCCCCACCGTTGCACTCCGGGGGCCATCCCAGTAGCGCATCTTCCAATCGGCCGGGGAGTACGAGTAAGAGTAGGGTGATAGGACGGGCGTCGTCGCACTGCGCGGCGTCTCCAGCGTAGGTGAATACCGCATTGGCGGCGGGATGCGCAAGCGACGCAGACTCATCATGTCACGACCGTGCGGTGCGCTTCCATAGGGGGATGGAGGGGGTAATGTTGCTGTAGCTGGTCTGGTTGGTTCGGGGAAGCTGAATGAACCACTGACTGCGCTGGCTGGTTGGGATGTGGGGGTCTTGTTGGCCTTGTCCCAGACGAAGCGGGTGACGGTACCTCCGTTGCCATCCGGGGTGAAGACAGGCGTGAATGATTTGAGGAATTCGGTGTATGCAGCGGGAGGTGTGATAGGTGTTGAGAGACTCTCATCTTGTTGCTTTCCTGGAGCACCTAGCCTTACTCCATTGTCTGGTTGCAGTTCCGAGGGGAACGTCATGTTCTTGGGCGTCCGCAACGGATGGAGGATTGGTTTGGCAGGCATTTTGACGGTAGATCTGAGGTAGTGTATGAGAGGTCTGCACGAGGTAGACTGTTTATATATAACACGTTCACAGCAGATGACTGGTGAATCACAAGGTCGCGCCTGAGCTGGTCACGTTGTGCGTGGCAGTAGAAGGGAAGCGTGGTATAGTATAGTAGAGGCAGATGTAGGCAGCGGCAAGCCTGAGGCAGCAAGGGACTTGAAGGTAGGGCAGGTATCGTCCACCAGGATGACAGCAAGCACGAAGCTATATAGTAAGGACAGATGGAAGACCCTTCGGCTGCTCTAGCGCGCAAGGAGAAAAAAGGAGAGAAAAAGTAGAGGGAGGGAAGTGGAGGAAGATTATTTATCTCGAGTTGACGCCGACGCAAAGGCAGACGGATTTCCTGTACGGTACGGGTATTGCGGTCTGACACGGTAAAGTTACCAGACAGTAAGATACCGTGTGACACGCTAACCCCAAAGCAGGCTAAACGCTCAGCTCCTTTCAGCAACTCGGCGCCAAAGCCTCGCCTTCTCTCCAAAAGCACCGAGTCGGATGGTGGCGATCTTTGGCCGCCAGGAGCACGGCAGAGTTGAGGGTGTGTGGAGTGTCAGGATGCGGATGAGGGGATCGGGTAAGGCGCTTGCCGTGCCTGCTTGGCCGGCAGTGATCAATGTGAAGGAGAGAATTGGGAAAGTGAAGTGCTGCTGCTGCTGCTGCTGCTGCTGCTGCTGTTTGGATGGATATTGAACTGCGTCTTCGTCCTCCTTCTTATACCTTTGCTCTACGATATAGCATTGCTGGTCTGTCTGTCCACAGCGGGACTCCAACAATCCAACAAGCCAAATCCTCCAGGAAGTTTCGCGCCTGGTTCCTCGAGTCAAAGTCTCCGTTACCCTGTCAATGTTCCCAAACACAAATGCATCCTGCATATACAACATACCCTTATCGCCGGGACGGCACTCATTTCTTGACTCCTCACGATCTCTCCGGCTCGAAGACGTGCGTTGGCCCCTCCTGGTTCGCTCAGCGTTAACGCGCAAGCCCACCTTCCGGCAAGAGGGCGGCTCGCCCATCCGCAACCCCAACTTCTGCACAAGCCATGGCTTCAGAACACCTATGGCGTGCTGTGGTTAGCGCTGCTTGTTGCATCCTTCAATTCCATTGTTATTCTACTCTGGCACTTGGGCCAATCTACCGATGCTGCTTGTCTCTCTACTTTATTTCGTCGGCACTTAATCTATCGGGCGGCTGCAAGTCATGCTGGTGTCTTCACGTCTCTTCACCCCTTCTACGAATCAGCGCGTCGATCCGACTGGTGAGGGTCCTCGTTGCCATGGGATAGCGGGTTGCAGGCGCGGGGTTTGTGACTGATCTCGACTTGCCTGCAATGTTGCTACTACCACACCTTGGCGTTCCTGCGGCCATGTCACACCAGCACTTGCAGAACCTGGCTTGCCATCGTTACGATCGGTTGGCTACGGGTAGCTGATGCACATGGCTGCGTGTGAACCCCTCTTTATGTTCAGACGCTCTGTGCATCCAACGGCGCGGGATTATAGTAGCTGCATTGCGAGCCGGCCTAGAAACGGCACGATATCCAGTAGCCGACACGTTGATACCTTGTTGGTTTAGACTACTATCCTGGGCTTACAGATCGATGAAGAGTCTGCTTCTAAGGACGGAGAGAGTCCCTTTTGTTGGTTGCGTGGGTAAAGGTATAGTCTACTGGTAACTAACAGCGCCAGAGCTTGGGCCCAACACTTCATGTCGGTGCAAAGTAACGCTGCAGAGGATCAGAGCACGGAAGCGCCATCACCATTGTCGGTTACGCCACAGCGTCTCTGTTCCTTGACTTCCGTGGGATGTAGTGTCACACTCGAGTGCCCGCATGGTAATATTGCAGGAAAGGTATTAACAATGGGGTCGCTCAGACTGCAGTTGTCACCCACTGCGCTTACTTCACGTCCCGCAACGAGCAGGACTGTCGACAGCCTGTCAAAGACTTACAAGGACACCCACACCAATCCATTCCCCTCATCTTTCATTGATTCATCGGAAGAGCCGTAGACCAACCTCTAGATATTTCCTCGTGTGCTAGGAAGGCTCCTCCACCAGATACACCACATCTGTGATGTAACATTCATCAACCAACAGCAACATCGACAACCGAGATCACAAGCCTACCACCTACGCTGCCTCCTAGTCCTCCAGCTTGCCTATCAATAACCAAACCAACATATACTAATGACTTGAACCAGTGAAAAACAAATCAAGTCGTAACCAAACCGTCAAGTCATGCCAGATTCCCAATGCATCACATGCGCACACTGATCGAGCGCCATGGCTAGACCGTTAGTAAGGACATGACTGGCCTATCCCAGATGCCCCATGCTGCACAGGATTATAGCCATTTGATACCCTTGCTCCACCAGGAGCGAGCACCTTAGAAGTCAGAATCAGTCGTTTCTCGATTGAAGGCGAACCCAGTATTTGACTTCTCACTTTCTTCTAGCCCACTACTGGTAATGGGCTACAATCCAATTGAGCATACAATTATTACATGCAATAAAGCAATGGCAGTATTTCTCTGCTCACATTCTATCTACAAATCAAGAACCAGTTCCAAGAGACATACACATAGAAAGGCATGACATATCCCCTCAACTACTCAAGGCTAATACCCAGCTTCCTTCTTCATATTGTCATGTCAAGTCGTGCACACACACCCCCCTCACAAGTCAATCCCCAAATCACGCCCAGCTCTCGAAATAACTTTCATCCCGTCAGCTGAACAGTCCGCCTCAACTGATAGGTACAAACAGAGGTAGGTATTAGTACCGATCTTGACAGACGTCGCCGCCTAACGCTCTCATCTATCGACCCTCTCTTGACTGTCAAACCGAATTGCGTGCACTAGACAGCTAAGGGAGATCAATCCCTCTAGTCAACTCTACACCCTATTCTCCCACTTTCGGGTATGGTTGAAAGGTCGGAAAGATGACTACTACTCTCGGCGATTTTTAAAGGCGAGAGGACGAAAAGAGGAGAAAAATGGACTGACTCATTGGGGCTTATTCTCTTGCATTGTGCGTCTAAGCTCTTAGACCGTTGAACCATGACTTATTGTGATATACGTATCTACTGTTATCTTATCTACAAGAGTATGTCTCGATAATCAGAATCGTAATCCTGCACCTCTATCCAATGCATGCCGGTCAGCTAGACTCTGTAGTTGGTCTTCGGAGGGTACACCATCGAGAACACAGCCTATAGATCTTGTTAATAATCTAAATGGTCAGGTGAGGTAATTACCAGGATACATGACTCACCGAATTTATCCTCACGACCCTCCCTCCACTCTCGGACTTGAATCCTCAGTTCTCGTGTTGACATAGATTGACTTTGAAGATCCTGAGCAGAATCATCACCGATAGAATCAATAGCCTCAATCCGCTCCAACATCTCCTTGGTACAGCCATAACCCCCCAACCAGGCATCTCGAATAATACTATCAAGCATAGGCCGGCCGGTGTGTATACCCGGCAGGACTAGCGTACCATGACTGTCCACAGACAGTTCAGGCTTGACACCATGTTCCATTTGATATATCAACGACCCCATAGCGAACATATCTGTTTTTTCAGATAAAGTCCGCGAAGGGCCGTTTATCGGAGAAACTTCATTTGGCGCACCAATAGGGCTAGAAGCGCTAAAGTCAGAGAGAATCACACGGTCATGGTCATCTAGAGAAATACTGTCCATCTGAACATCTGCGTACACGATGCCAAGGCTGTGGATATGGCATAGTGCATGAGTGAGATCGCGGTACCAGCGAATTCGTTGGCGTTGAGGGGGCAATTTATCCTCGGATAGTGGGTGGTATTTGCGGAGGTAGATACCCTCTGGATAGTGGGTGTCGATTGGTTCTATGATGTGAGGGTATGGTTGGTTCTGAAGTAGTTGTAGGACAGTTCGTTCGTTTTGTAATTGGTTCATTTGAGAGAGGGTGTTTGAGGCGTAGTGTCGGTGGGCGCGCTCAGAGGCATTGTTTTCAGGTGGTACATATAATAAGGGTGATTTGAGAACTATGTGATCATTCACTTTGTAGACCTGAGAAGACGATCCATCCTCTATGACTTCCAAGTCGTGTTGAGGGTACAATTGTAAAATGTACGTGTCGCACTGCGATGTTGAGGTATCATCACCAGCCGGATGGCTAGCCGCCTCAAGATCATCAGGTTTTCCGGATTGGGGCGGGTGATAACTGATAGATAGCGGAAATATATGAGATAAGAAGCCGAATGCGCGATAACCAAGATAGCCGAAGTAGCGCAGTGCAGTCAATGCTGGCGAAAAAAATCGCCAGAGATATGACAGCATCTTGCAAGAGTCATTGAGGAAGAATAATTTGGAAGATATTTTTTATTGCACTGATCTTGAAGCACTCAACGATGAGAGGAGGGTTTTTTAATGAGTATATTCGTTCAAGACGTCTTGGCGTGAAATGATGGATACAAGAGCCAGCGCATCAGGGGAATGGCGATACCCAACAAGTGCAAGTCACGTGCAAGATGTATGCTAGTCGGTTATTTTTGCTTCTTGGGTCTGTTCGACATCCGAGAAATTTATGATGATAGACCCATGTTTTATTTGTCGAATTAGCGTATCTTAAACTTCATCCTAGGGTGATGTTGAGTACTGTAAACAGAGTGAGCTGAAGGGATTGTCAAATGAGTAGGCTTCTTTCATGAAGCGACAAAGAGCACATCGCATATATCTCCGAGTCTAAGGCAGCATTACTCATAAATCAGGCTTAAGACTGAATCATCTGGGGTATAAGGAGTGACAATTTTTGTTTTCGAACCAAGACATATGATCTGATCATACAACTAACCAATCCCAAACAAAGCAAGATACAATGTATCAGCAACACATGCAATCAATAAATCATACCAAACATGAGGACATCAACATATATGGATTTGTAATATTTGTCAGGCGAAAACAACCAAACTCCTGCTCCAATGCGCCGGCCAAGGGGTATGGGATATGACTGTCAGCGCCGTGCGGTTATTCCCGCTCCACCTCATGAGAAAAGACATGGCATGTCATCGCTCCGGCCTGCGGATACGAGACAGCCGGGTATATCGTAGCGAAAGAATAAAACGGAGAGCCAAAAGTTCTGGTCCGAACCAATAGTGTCTATAGGGGCTGGACTTTTGCCGGAAAAGTGAGAAAACAGAATTGCAAGCAGGCAGAAGGGCCTCCTCAGGAAGGAAGCCCGGGACGATATCCAGTCGCGTTGCCTGATCGAATCGTTCGTGCTTGTCACCCTGGCAGGACCAAATCCGCGAATCTCCAGGTTGGTTATGCAATATCCAAGCCAGCTTGTATGATCGGTCCCTTCAAGGGATATTAACAGATGCGCATAAAATGCAATCAAGGAAAAAGAATTGTTGAAATTAGAGAAGAAGGTAGTCCCAGCCATTCTGTTGCATGATCTCGCGCCAGTGTAGGAATGGCTTTTTCATTTCCTTCGCTCCCCATGGCACGAGGCTCTCCTTGGGAGACTCAGAGCCCTCAGCCTTCACAGGCGCGTCGGAGGATGAGGAGGCGGACGAGGACCGTCGCTCTTCTGGGGCAGAAGCAGATTCGACAGGTTCGACGGTCTCGACCGGCTCGACGGGTTCGATGGACTCATCAGACACACGCCATACCTCCTTCAGGACGCGGTACATACGGCCAAAGCTACCGAGTTCGGCATGCTCGCCAAGAGCAGCAGCTCGATCGGCGAGGACGGTGCGGAAGTGGCTATCGGGTGCTGAGTATGCTCCGGCGATCAGAATCGGCCAAACGAGCGAGCGATCGAAGCCTTCAGGTCCAGAAGGAATGACATAGAGAACATTGGCGACGGCAGCGACCAGATTGACGGTGCTCGGTTGGTTTCGGTCAAACCCGGGAACTAGACTGCATAAGTAGATCCTTGCGGCGAGGCGGAAAGCGGCCGTGATGTTCTTGGTGAGGATCTCGGGAGAAAAGGCTCCGTTCGGTAGGAATGGGCTTTCGAGCGTCTGATTCACGGGTTCGGTGAACTCTAGTTGCTGTCCCAGAGCTGAAACATGCGAACACACGCCCATCTCATCGATTCTGCCGTCTCTCTTGAGTGCGTCCAGACAGGTGATCTCCGAAATCAGGTACATGACACGGTCGTCGCAGCCCATGAGCTCGCGGAGCCCCAGAGACGAGCCGCTGAGGTGCTTGGCACGGTAGGTGTGTGCGAATTCCGGAGTCTTGCCGTGCATGGTCGATCCTAGAATGTCAATCCACGATGCCAGAGTCATGGTGAAGGGGGGTAGCATGTACGGGTTCCCGCAGGCGGGAACTGCCGTCGGAAGCCCAAGCCGATGCACAAGATTGGAGGCAGC